ACACACACACCACACAACACACACAACACACACACCACACAAAACACACACACACACACACACACACACACACACACACACACACACACACACACACACACACACACACACAACACACACACACACAACACACACATCACACACACACACACACACACCACACACACACACAACACACACACACACACCACACACACACACACACACACACACACACACACACACACACACACACACACACACACACACACACACACACACACACACACACACACACACACACACACACCACACCACACACACCAACTGTTTGTTTACAACAATCGAACATCAATGAACAACAAAATCACGTTCAAATGCATTTACATTTCTCCTATTGGAGCTTTAACAGTTTGAGAAAAGGAATGAGACTGAAATTATCATCAATGAAAAATTAACCTCTTCTATCTTTGTCTTCATCTCCTCCTTCAGCTCCTCCTCCCTCCTCCTCGTCTCCTCTCCTCCTCTCTGCAGATCAGCCTGTAGTCTCTCCACCTGAGAGGAGACACAGACAGAAGGAGAGAGACCTCCAGATAAACTCTTTATAGCTGGACTTCCAGATGAGCAGAGTCAGAGGTGTGTCTTTGTCAGTAAGTCAGAAGATGAAGAAAGAGTGAAACCAGGTTTAAATGCATGTTGTTACTTTATCTGAGAAAGGAGGTGAAAGGATTTGATCTAAGACATGAGTAGCTTCACTGGATATCATACGCTGTCTCTGAATGACTTTGATTGGAGATATCAAACACAAACCTCTCTGGACTCATTCTGCAGCTTCTCCTTCAGGATGGAAACTTCTGTCTCAGCTTCCTCCCTCCTCTTCTGATCCTCCTGAGACTCATTTCTGGAAGATCTCTTCTGTTTAAACTAAAAGACGAGACAGAGGAGATGAAATATCACGTTTGACCAAATGACTCTCAGTAAGTTCATGTTCACAGGTTTCCTCCAGCTCTTCTGCAGCCAGAGATTATAAAGGAAGCTTTATTTAGGTCAGGAAACCAGAAGAGAGTATTGATCGTATTGATCTGAACCCACTGACCCGTGAAGAGGAGGAAGAACTGGCTTCAGCAGCTCGGCTTCTTTCCAGCTGGAGAGAAGGAGAGATGAAGACAGACGTGTTCATGGGTTTTTACATGTTATTATCTCAACAACTAAAACTCTCATTTCACATCATCAGTTCCACTGGAAGCTCTGTGGAGAAGTGCTTCTATGATTAGGTCCATGTGTTTGTAAAGACTCCTCTCATTGGACATCACATGACCGAGGAGAAGACTGTAAACATGGAGGTGACCAAACCTGGATTTATAAACTCGGAAAATCTGCGTTTAAATGTTGTTTAATCAAGTGCACATATCTGTGAAACTTCATGTATAGAAACAATGAAGCGTTGAAACCATAATCACATTCAGCAACAGGATTTCTGATTGAACACTCAAGTGACCCAGGATGCTCAACACATCTACAAGTGTATGTGGCTCCTTTGAACTAGAATCAGACTTCATATAAACAGCAAGGTTCATGCAGGAAGTCTAACCTCCGTGTTGATGGACTCCATCAGGGTCTGCAGGCTGGTCTCCATCCTCTGAACCTCCTCCTGCAGCTGCTGGACTTCAGCTTCCTTCACTTCACACTGAGAGGATAACTGAGAGACATGTTTTATCATAAACCTTTGTTCGTATGTATCAGGACTAAAGTGACTCATCTGCATCTGTTATGGAAACTAAACTCATGTCTAGTTTACACTGCAGGACTGAACCCTGATTTATGATTAAAGAGTTAGTCATGGAGTCAAGCAAGCTTTTATACTAGGACCTTTTCTATTGAACTTAGTTATGCTTCCTTTAGGTAAAAATAAAAAGGAAACAGAAGTTCATTTGTATCTTGATAATGACTCACATACCTAAACTTCCAGCATGCCTTAAGGAAAAAAACTCTTGGGTGACGTGAACATTTATTATACTCTGCCCCAAACACGTCTAGAATCTAAATGTAAATACATCGTTTACTTTCTGCACCAATCCATATAAACTGTACATACAGAGAAGATCAACTGAAAACTATACTTTAGTAACATATTCAAACAGTAACCTCTGTGATGTTGGTGTCTGTTTCCTTCTGTCTGCTCTCCAGCTCCTTCTTCAGTGTGTCCACTTCCTGTTCAGCTTCAGCCTTCTTCTTCTGTTCTTCTTCTCTTTCCGAAGTCTGTATTTTTTAGAGAAAAGTGACTCAACATACTGTTCAATCTTTAAAGTGTTGCACAGTTTTATGTGTTAAAGAATCCAGTCTGATTATCTCTTTACAACCTATTAGTGATGTACATTGATATTAAGATAATTGACTTCCTGTTGTGTTTACATTGTTATGTTGACACAACAGGAAGTCAATTATTATTTTAGGTTATCTTATACAATAATAATAATAATAATTCATTACATTTATTCAGCGCTTTTCCAAATGCTCAAAGTGCTGACATTACATATGACATATATCAGACATGTAACACATCAATACTGTGGACAATTCCCACAGGAGTGATTTAGGGTGAAGTGCCTTGCCCAAGGACACAGAGGCATGTTGACTGCAGTGGGGGTCAGGGCGGATTGAACCGGTTCCCCAGCGCCCCTGATCTGAGGATCCACAGCCGTGATGCACTAACATCATTTCCACTCACCTGATCAAATCTGGAAATGCTGTTTAGGCTCCTCTGAATTCTCCCCAGCTGGTAGAGGAGACACATGAAGAGACACGTGAGCACTACATCACAGCATGTGATCATTATAGATGCTCATACAGTTAGGTGGATCTGTTATGCTCAATGTTACTGAATGGAAGAACATGTATTGAAGTAAACATAGTGCACTACAATTCATCTTGTAAGCCTAAACCTAAGCGTGGCATGCTGTGTCACTGCTCCTGATGACTTGTTTTGGGGTTTCCTCAAATGCTCTTCTGTTTAACAATAAATGCAGAATATCAAAGATGGAGACGTGAACCTCTCTGTTCTTGTTCCACAGATCTCCCTTCAGGCTCTGCAGCTCCTTCTCGTTCCTCTGTTTCTCTGCATGGAGATCCTGCAGCTCAGACTGTTTGGATTCAACCTGAAAGAACAGCAGGAAGATTAACATCATTTATTCACAGTCTAAAAGTAGGACTGTCTGGAGTTGGTCTCCACTTGGACCTGCACTGCAGGTTTGACCTTGTCTGCACTAAGGAGGACATTGAAAGAGACTTCAAACAGGAATCAATGTGTTTCATTATTGAAGTGGAGATGAACCTCTTTCTTCTTGTTCTGCAGCTGCTCTTCCAGAGTCTGGACTTCCTTCTCAGCATCCTTCCTCCTCCTCTGCTCCTCAAGCAGCTGCTGCTTGGATTTCTTTTTCTATGAGAGGAACAGTCACGTTTCTTTAGTGATCATTTCTTAAGGTGCCACACAATGACACCTGTTTTCATGCATTTCTGGCAGATCCTGTATCTTGATGTGAAAGTGATTCTCACGAACTTGGTGTAACATGAGCCAAAACAGTTCGATGCAGATTTTTTAAATTATTTTTCTCATTAGTATCAACCAGGTTCTAAATGAACTAGTCGTAGTAAAAGAAAAGTTCTGTATATGTTTTAAAACACATTTTTAGAGAGTTTTAACGAGTCATTGACCAAATAAATTCATTACCGTAACACATTTTCAATTGATGATAACTAAATATTTGAGTAAATGTTTGGCATTTAACGTATGCTGCTGTCAATAGTCACAAGTAGTCACATAGTGTAATAATTCAGGTAAATATATAATAATATAATAATTTTAGTTATTAACTTCATTACGTAACACAATTTTATGTTCCACACATTGACTTTTACTGTGGTGTAAATTGTACAATTGATTGAAAAAAGACAATTTTAAAATATGAACAGACATACCAAACATTTCCTGTACAAAATGAAAATTTGAAGGTTTTCCATATTCCTATCAAAATATTAACTTATTAAGGAAGTGTTATGGTAATGAACAGAGCATGTCGGTAATGAAAAGCTTTTGTTATGGTAATGACCTTACATGGAGAAGAGATATACTATTGCTTTATAAATACTATCGCTGTACGTATATATTCACACACACACAATTTTGAATGGCACCGTTACTTTTATATACTGTCTCTTTACACACACAATAGACAATAGTAACGTAACGTTTGTTACATGATACATAATGCACATTCAGTGTTGTCCCGTGGCAGACACCATGGGTCGAATATGCGAAAAGCAGAAATGAGGCCGATGTCGGGGAAACGATCTTCAATATTCTGGATGAGGGTGTCGAGGAAGCGCTGCCTTACACCATCCACGGCCTGCCGCATCGCCCTGGTGGCCTTTATCTTTTCTCTCTTAAAATACATCTCGCCGTTTTTCTCCACAATGTTGGCCAGGAATTCTTGGAATTTTGGGCCGCCTTCATCTCCAATCTGCATGGCTCACAGCGCATTGATCGTTGAGGTTACAGCAGGCTGAACGTCATCAGTGTCCAGGATGACATGCATTTCTTTAAGCCGTGCTTGCCGAGAGCTGCTGTTGGAGAAGTATCCATAGATGCTGCCCACCGTCCTCTGGTAGCGCTGGAGGGATGGCATCGCCACAGCAGCCTGCTGGGCACACAAGTTTAGCTTATGTGCAGCGCAGTGTGTGCCACCGATGGCTGGGTTTTCCCTTTTAAAACGCGCCACGAACCCATTTTCTCTTCCAGTCATAACCGCTGCCCCATCTGTACGGACGCCAGTTACGTCGTTCAGGTCGATGTTGTAATTTTGCAACTGCTCCTTAATGGTTTGCGTTACGGTAGCAGCGTCGCATGCAGTAATCTTTGTGTTGCACAAGTAGTGGGTTTCTAAGTCACCGTCATTTATTAGGTTAACATGTGTGCAAAGAAGCTTTTCCACCGAAATGTCCGTGGACTCGTCAGTCATGAGCCCCTTGAATGTTGAGTTATTTAACTTTGCAATGAAATCCTCCTTCAGCACATTACGGCGCACTGCATGTCCTGCACTATGTCGTTGTGAGGGCGTTCTCTGAAACGCGCAGTTCTGCCAAGGTTTCACATCCCTGCAGAATGCACAGTTCATTCAAGCTTTTGTTTTTGTGTGTCAGCAACAGTTCTTTTGCCAGGTAATACACGTTCCTCTTGGCCGCAATTACCGCCTTTGATCTGTCACAGACCATTCGATTAACGGCAACTTGAACGTTGTTTCTTCGTAAATGCTGTGCATCTAGCACTGCTTTGTGATCCACCCCCTTTATGTGCATCTCTATAGTCTTCACCCTGAAGTTGGACGTCCCCGCGGTGAACACGTTGTGCTTTTTTTCCCTTACACATAGTGTGCAATACATTTTATGACTTTGTTTGTTATAGCACAACCACGGGAACTTCATTTTCCAGGTTCCGACAAACTTCCTTTTGTTGTGGCTGACCGGTTTCTCTTCGTGGCTTACGGGTGTAGAAGTGACATTGTCAGATGGCGTAGGCTCTGTATGGGGTGGGAGGCTAGATGACGACAACTCCGGCCCCGGGGCACCTGCACGGGCGGGGGATGCTGGCGGAGAATAGGATGGCGGCAACTCAGGCTCGGGCTGAGAGCCAACGGCAAGGCTCGCTGGCAGTACACTTTTTTCCGTCACAGGAACCGGCCTCCTTTGCCCCTCCAACAGAGGGATGTCATTTTCCTTTTTGTCATTTAAACCAGGGGTTCAGTGTGGGAATCACAGCCGCGCCCCCCCTCCCAATTATTATTGCTATTATTATTATTATTATTGTTGTTGTTGCTATAATGCAGGGGTATTCAATTGCATTTCAAAGAGAAAATGTAAGGTGAGAAAATGTCATAAAATGCTCTGTTTTCGCTACCTTCCTATTTTTTGATTGGCTGAGCGTCACCTCCTTAAAACATTAAACAATAGCTTTTTTAAACCTCTTTATCTTTATGTTTTAAACATGTTGAGGTTAAGGATGGCAGCTTCCTCATACGTTGCACTCGGAGATAAATAGTTGAGACGGAGATGTCTTTAGCAGCAGGGAGGAGTAACGTTTCACCAATGTTGTGAGGTTTACCTGCCTTAGCTATCCGTAACGCCACTCGGTATGATGCTTCGGTTGCCTTTGTATTCACAGTGCTAAATGTGTCAATTACATTTTTCTGTGACTGCAATTCCTTGAGCTTCTGGTCAAAAAACTCCTGTGGCTTGGGTGTTTCGTCTCAATATGACCCGGAGTTTACATGGTCTCATACTGTCATTAGCTAGCACCTCGTTGCAGATAACGCACTGTGGCAGTGGAGTGTCATCAGGACCGGTCCATGAAAATCCTAGCTTCAAATAATCATTGTCATACTTCCTCCGTTTTCTGACAGACGCTGTCTCCTCTCTCACTTTAGGTAACTTCACTACAAATCTATCCATATTTTGCCGCTCGCATACATTTAGCTGAAGTTAACTTCAGAGCCCTAGAGATACTCTCTAGGGCTCTGAAGTTAACTAGCTAGATTTCACTGTTTCTCTTTATTTTTTTCTGGCGGCTGCGCCTCCCTTGAAGCTCTCTGGCGCCCCCCAGAGGAGGCGCGCCTCACACTTTGGGAACCCCTGATTTAAACGATAAAAATTGTCGATCTTCTCTCGGATAAATCTTTTTTTTTTGGGCTGCCTCGGCTCGAGTTGAGGGCGTTCCGAGCTGAAAAAGGGCATCCAATGACGGCAAGACGGCCCCCTGGCGGAAACACTGGCTCAGTCTCTCTCTCTCTCTCTCTGTCTCTCTCTTTCTCAGGCTCTCTCTTTCTCTGTCTCTCCCTCTTTCTCACTCACTCTCTCACACACACACAATGTGAAGATGTCCTGTTCTAACCTCTCTCTTTCCTTCCTTCTGTACTCTTCCAGCAGCTCTGGGTTGCTGTACACTTTCTCTCTGTGCTTCACCACCCTCACCTTGGAAGCTGCCCTTTTCCTTTCCACCTTTTCTGAACTTAATTTCAAGAGGGATTCAGTATTCATTAAATAAATTAGATTAAAATAATATATATCAATTATTTCTTTATAGTTAAAGCCCACCATACATAGCTGCACGCATTTCTTTCATTACCGCAACAATTTTATTCATTACCGTAACAGCCTCCTATATGACATGGTAATGAATGCAGAGCATTACGGTAATGAATGACCATAACACTAGCTAGCATAATAGTTAGCATAGCCATGATGCTACAAAATAAATATTTGCACTATCATTCTGGCTCTATAAAAGCTACTTTTCTATTGATTTTGGAATCAATAACTTTAAAAAACCCATTATATAATACCCCATTATGGTAATGACAGTTAGTAGTGTACACTGGGGTGTCAGTAAATGGAATCTTTAACATATCTATAGCTTGACCTTGAAAGGACATCTTACCTTGTAGCCATCTTGCAACTTCTCTTCCATGCAATGCATCATGGGTAAACAAAATAAATAATTTAAACAAACAGGAATTGTAATGGGGCCAAATAGGCAGTGCATCGGTAATGAACTTCACATGCTCCGGACACACATATTAATCCAAAACTATTTTAATTCATAAATCTTAGACCCAAAATAATTATATTACCAGTAATAATGTACCATTTCAACAATTTTTTGTATTTATGTATGTATTAAATTGTGCAGATTTATTGTGATATTTTGGGGTTAAATGTAAAAAAATAAACTCCGGACGCATTACGGTAATGAATTTCTACATGGAAAAATGGTGAAAAAAATATGAATTACTACCTCAACTACAAAAATACCAAAGGTGGTTTCGTGAGAATCACCCTTCTGTGCTTCTTGCTCAGACTTCACTTTTCATGTTGTTGTTTCTCTACTTACCTTTTTGCTCTTCTTTCCGATGTTTCCCTTCAAAGCCTCCATCTGCACAGCGTCAGGTTTCATCAGCTGTCCTCTTTCTCCTTCATTGAGAAACTGATCTTCATCCGAACGCTTTCTCTTTGTCTCTGTGTGAAATGAAATGTGTGTTAAGATGTGATGAAAGAGAATTAGAGAAACTTTAGGAAGGGATCGAAGCACATGAAACTTTTCAGGCTAAATTAACTGAACAACCGCTTAGAGATGTCCCGCCCCTAGTGCTAGCCAATAGAAGCGCGAGTGTTACATAGTGATGTCACCATGCTCAAAACAAAGGAATCCAATGGAGGCGTTTCAGACGGGGGGGGGAGTTTGGATATTGTAGCTTTTGCAGACCATTAACATGCACACAAACCTGCAGAACATACAGCACTCAGCATAATAGGGACCCTTTAATTAAAAATAAACTGAATCAAATCACCCGACTGTTAGTGACTTACTGAATATGTGTTCTCTCCACAGAAAGAAGAAAGAAACTGCCAGCATTAACAGAATGCAAACAGCCAAACTGACGGCCAGACCAATAATGACAGAAGAAGAACTGGACTGGAGCTTAAAGAAATCCTCTGAAATGATAAAACACAGAACATCACAGCATTTATGCTGATATTTAAATTAAAACATGTTAAATGAACATGATGTCTACCTGGAACATGGAAGTGTGTCTGTGTGGTGCGGGTGGTGTTGTGGTGCTGGACTCTGCAGGTGAAGCTGCTGCTGGGTCTCTTCTCCACAGTCACTCTGCTGCTGACAGTATAGAGGTCATCAGGACCTCTGACTGTCTCTGGAGGTCCAGCAGAGAGGAGCTTTCCCTCAGCGTCCAGCCACAACACCTCAGGCTCCGGATACCAGCCTGCAGACTCACACTGCAGCACCACTCCTCCGCTCTGACCGTCCAGCCCTGATAAACTGATGACAGGCGGAGAGACAGGACCTGATGCTGAAAACAAGCAAGAAGAGGAAGTATTTGATATCTGATAGCAGGTGAGGGAATGGCACAGAAACAGATGGTATTGCTCCAATCCTTTAACAATTTACAGCCTAATTTCTATCCAGATCCTCATGTAAGAGTCCAATGGGTTCGCCACTGTGAGTTGGACCGAGTCACTCTTCATCTGAAACACTGTTTCTGTTGCTGGCTCCAAAATGGTGGAACAACTTCCACATATCAAAATCAAGACAGCAGAAAGTCTACACACTTTTGGCTTTCCAAACACCTAACTATAATCTGATAGTCTCAACTTTGAAATCTCACTAGAACATGCAGTACGCTAAGCAGGAAACTCCTTTAAGGCAAACAAAATAGACCAGAGTATTACATAGTCAGAGTCTCTTGAAACACGGAGATACTATAACTATAATCCTTTCCTAGAGGTGCAACATGAACACATACGTACATACAGTAGTGCACTTACCAAAAACCAGTTTAACAAATGCTTGCTGGTCCAGTTCTGGAATGAAACATCTGTATTTCCCCTGATCGGAGAGTTGTACGATGGAGAGTTTCATGGAAATGTTTCCGTTCTTCAGCTCATCGGTGAACATTGAAGTTCTTCCCTTGAATAATTCATGTTTTTTATCCACAAGTTCATGACCAAGCCGCATCACATGGACGAATCTGGGGTCCATGTCGGGCCTCGTCCACTCCAACGTCAAACCAGCAGCATATACCGCCGGCTCCAGGTAACACGGCAAAATGATGTCATCACCAAGGTTTGCTACGATTGGCTGAGATGAGCCAATCAGCTGAGACTGACCTGGACATTCAAAGGAGGTACTGTATATTATATAATGTAACGATGGTAGAATTTGGCTAATCGTGGTTTTTTTATATTTTAAGAGGGAGGGCTGTTATAGGCTGTTCTCCACATTCCCATGTGTTCCCATTGGCAACAACTGCTTACAAAAGAAACTCAAAAAAGAGCTCAAGAAAAGAATGTTGCTAATGGTTTAGCTCCTGCGCACAGCTTATTCTTGCGTTGTAAGCTAACGTTAGCCTCACAGCTGAGTTACGGCTAAAGGATTAGCAAGATTTGTCTTTATCTCTGAAAAGCTTTTCGATATTGTACCGAGCCTCTATTCACATAATGTCAAAAGGCTTTACAGTACCAGTTTGCAAAGAAAAACAATCACAACATTGATGGACTGTTTTCTCTAATTGTTACAGATATTCAGCGTTTTCCAGTAACAACATATATTGGGGTACCACTTGCATGACAATATGCTTAAAGGTCATTACTGAATGTTAGCCCGATTATGCGAAATATAAACGTCTTCCCAAAGCTGTAAGTGTGACTTTTGAAGATTGTATTTGTGTGTTACTTACCTCTACAGTGTGTTAGGAGAAGAAGGAAAACCAAAACACTGAGAGTTCCCAGATGAGTTTTAAGGGGCTTTCCGTCTGTGTTTAAAATCATCCTGGAGAACTGGAAATGAACAGAAAACAGTGAAAGCAGACTGAACTTCCAGGACAACATGCTTTAAAACAATTCTTTCGGTAACACGTTTTAAAAAGGCTGGACAAAAAGTGGTCAATCCAAAGGTCTGAGTTATAAACTAAATGTTACCTTTGGGCATTATTTGTACTCCAACAAATGGAGCACATCTTCTGTGCTCTACTTATAATTTACATATCCTATTTCATTATATTATTTCCTCTGTTTAAGACATATAATGATAATTTAGTTACACTAGTAGACTAAAGACTCTGCACACAAAACCCAGTTCAGTGTTATGACTATCACCAAGTCTGTACACAGTTTTCACTCGGACACAAACGTATGAAATACATTTGTTATCTCTTCTAATCTAAAATTGTGGTTCACCAAAAATCAATATTCACACTTTTCATGAAAAAGGTTTTGAATCTATTTTATCTTATGTATTAAATGTTAACACATTGAAGAACACATACCTGTTGAATGTTGCGTGTCACCGTCTCTGACTGCGAGGACAAGTCAGTAAATCATTGACAGCCTCATGCAGAGTATGAAGCAAATAGAGTAACGGCTAATTCATTTTTCTTCACCAAACTTCTTGACGGTTAATGTTATGCTTTATATATTTTTTCAGTGAGCAAATGTTTCTCCAGCAGCAAGAGGCATTTTCTACAAAAGCTGTGTCATATATTCAAGTTTAGCTGAAATCTATCCACTGAATTGTTATCTGAGTTTCACTTTGAGTGTCTCGGTTCATGAACATCTGAACTTTGTATTCAGTATATTGGTTACAGGTTATAAATTAATACATGGCAATAAAATCAGTTGCGATGGACCTTTTGAATTGTTTTATTGTGGCAACGGTTGAACGACAGTTCTCTATTAAGGCAGAGGACATGTCTGATCTTTAACTGCAGGGGGCGAAACTTTCAGTTTGTGTGTGTGTGTGTGTGTGTGTGTGTGTGTGTGTGTGTGTGTGTGTGTGTGTGTGTGTGTGTGTGTGTGTGTGTGTGTGTGTGTGTGTGTGTGTGTGTGTGTGTGTGACTGGCAACGACTGAAAAATAAATTCATTGAGACGAAGCACGAAAAAAGATAGCAGGATTTGTCAGAAGGGCTAGTTATGATTTCACACCTTGGCCAACAAATAAATCTGTCTTCTGTATGTAGCACCTACAAAAGCCTTTGCAGTATCAACTGATTTGGCGTATTACAAGCCAATGTACCTCCAGGATTATTTCTTTTTTGGGTCTGAATCTTCATGGTAGAATCTAAATCGGTTTAAATGAAAGTGCCAGCAAAATAAAATGTTACTGTCACATAATAAACTCTAATAAGGCTGTGTGCATGGCCCTCCTGCTTGTGATGCAGAAACCCACCAGCAGGAGGTTTAGTTTGTGTGTTCGGTTTAAGGATGGTACCCACTTGAATGATTCTTCTTGTTTTGAGTTGTTTCCTCGTGATTTAATGCACCTATTATAAGTCGCTGTGGATAAAATTATCAGCTGAATAACAAAAATGTCCTTGACTGCTGGATGGAAGTGTTTCATTACCACACGAGTGTGCAGTGGGTTGTGAGTTGGTGTTCAGATCAGGGGGTCACAGGTTCAAACCCCACTGCAGTCAGCATGTCGTTGTGTCCCTGAGACACTTCACCCCAAATTGCTCCTGTGGGGATTGCCCACAGTATTGAGTATGTAAGTCGCTTTGGATAAAAGCGTCTAACAAGTAACATGTAATGTAATCAGGCCTATACTTACAGGAATTTAAATCACATGATGCCTCCTGATTACAAAAATAAATAAGAAAAACATGACTTTGTCTTCGAAGACAGTGGAATATATGACAACCTCGATTAAATGTTTCAGAATTATTTTTAGGTTGTGATTTCAGGTTAAAAACCTACATTCATCTTCTGTTGCAAGGCAAACCCTTCTAACGATAAAGTGCTGGACAGAAAACATAAAAAATACTAATATTTTTCTTTGTTAAAGCGATAATGTTGGATCTAAAAATGTTACATTTGACTTGTAGGTGATTTTTCATACAATAACAAGGGGTTAACATTGATTGAAGTTGTTTAAGATAATTCTATAATTGATTTCTTGCATGAATGACTCTCTTGTGCAGAATCAGGAGTTAAAAACTCATCCTCAGCAGAGGAGCCTCTCTTTGCACCCGTGATGAAGGTAGGACTGTAAATATTCCTCATAACGGCTAGAAAATATACTTTAAAAGATTAAATTGTATTTCATGGTTAAGTAAATTAATCAAGAATAAATTGTTTCCTTGAAAGTTTTTCTTTTATCTTTCAGACTCGTTCGACAAGTTGAGAGACGCTCCATTAGCAAATTGCTCAGAAATGATTTTCAGTTCAACTAAGATCAATATTCACTCAAATATATCGAACTCAAATCTTCCTAGAGCTGGAAGTACATGTTTTATATTTATATTGCATTTTCTTTTATATGCTCTGAGTATTTGGTTTCATAACTTTTTATATGTGTAATTTTTCCTAAAAGATAAAGGACTTTGTGTTATTTATTTGTTTTCATTTATTCAGTGAATTTTTACTTGAAAATATTTCCTTTGAACAACCACAAGTTTTCTAAGCCATTAAAGCCCACAGAGAGTTGTGTTCAAGATGCCCTATTCTGCTTTTTGTGGGGTTTTCACTTTCCTGATATATAGAAGTTATGGCATGTGAATGGTCTGCAAAGGTTAAAACAGTTCCCTCCAGAGGCACACATTTAAAAACTGGGCCCGAAATCGCATCATTTGCAGGAAACAACGTCTAAGGAACCTTCATATTTAATAAACTATGAATGTTTTATATCCATATAACGGAAAAAAAACTAATTTAACTGATCTTTTTCATTTTTTTTCCTCAAAAAAAAACACACAATGCTAACAGTGAGCCTCTGAATTAGCCCGAGCGAAAAATGCTAACCTATTACTGCACCGAAAATCACTCCTAGCACCCTTATTACTTATCCTAGGTGCACATCCAACACATCGTTTCTGATCGTAAGGAGACACAAAATCTAGTGGTAACCACCTCAACACTCAAATATTGCAAATTCTTGGAGAAAATAACAAAAACGTACATCAAAACATGTGGCGCTAGGTAGCCCAAAACGCTAACATGGCTTACCTTGGTCTTTCTCTGGTCAAAACTGGTCTTCAATGGCATTAAAACGATTAAAACGATGGTGTAGTTAATCCATAGGTGAATATCCAATGTGATTGTGTCCCCTTTGAAATGTTCTGATAATCCATAAACAATAAAAACTGCTTTTCCGTTTCCAGAAATCAGAGTAAATTGTAAATAAGCCATCTGTATGTCAAATATGTCTTATATGTCTTAAATGATATGATGAATTGGAAATGGGGGACCCTGATGTAAACAAGACGAAAGTCTTTCTCTGGTCTGCATCCCCTTAACAATTGTATGTTTTGAGCTGTACTGTACTGTACCCAATATACAAGCTGTTAATAAACGTTTCAATCAATCAATCAAGAGCAGGGCTATTCCTACGCTCTGCAACACGATTGCATGCGCAGAGACGCCAGCTTTTTTTTTTAACATGAGAGTCTATGGGACGATTTCTCTTCGATTCTATTGGTCAGAAAGAGATGTCACATGTCAAAATCGAAGAAGGGGGGCCAGAGATATGGAAAATCCACCCAAATGGCCTAATAAGAAGAGGTTTTTTTTGCTAAATCTGTCTAAAAAGGTCAAATATCACTTGTTTTGCATCAATCTTGATACAGGGTACTTATTATCTGTTGTACTTCGGATTCCTAAAGCTTTTAGTCTACTAACCCATCATCCAAGGTTAGTTTTCACTATAAGTGCACAATATATTTTGAACGGACACTATAATTTACAGTTTTTTACCATGTTCAATCTGAATTTTCTTTAAAATAAAAAACATCTATATTGATTCTGACTTTTCCACATCCAACTCACAGGTTTATCATTACTTTGAGAAAAAATATTATTAATGTACCCCTTTTAGAAGGGAAGATATGGTCATTTGTTCTGGGAATGTCATTTTCGAGCCTGAAACCTGACAAACAGGCTTGGGGCCTAACAGGAGAGAGGAGTCAAGCTGGTTTCACTATGCAGGCTGATGAGGGGAAGTGGAAACAGGTGAGCAGGTGAACCAGGGTCATGTGACTGCACTCTGAGAAGTGAGGAGTTCAACATGACTCTGAGAGTGTGAAGACATCTGGTGGACAGAAGGAGCATAACAAATAATGCAGGTTTATTGTGTCATATATAATATTCGTATTCAGCTCCTCTGCCACCTGCAGTCAACAAACACTGCAGACAATAAATACACAAATTATACAAATACATAAATACAAATAGATTGAAAACGGCTGAATTTATTATTACTATTATTACTATATTATTATTGGATAAAATGTGTCACAGTGACATACGCCTGGTTTCTCTTTTGGGATGAAAAGAACAGAGTTTCTTTAATCAATGCAATTTAAGATATAAGCCTTTATTGTAATTATATATAACATACAATGAAACTACGAGTGCCCGTACTAGCAGTGCTTAAAATACGCACACATAAACAGCATCCGCAAACCATTTTAGAAAAAGACAAGTAACAAAAGACAAAAACAAGAAGACGTTTAAGAGCTTTAGTGAACGATTGAGGCAGTTCTATAATGTGATAAGATAAAATAAAATAATATGTGGCTGTATAAATGTAGATTAGGTTTTGAGTTCATGATGTGGGTTGCAGAGTCTCTGTGTGTGTGTGTGTGTGTGTGTGTGTGTGTGTGTGTGTGTGTGTGTGTGTGTGTGTGTGTGTGTGTGTGTGTGTGTGTGTGTGTGTGTGTGTGTGTGTGTGTGTGTGTGTGTGTGTGTGTGTGTGTGTGTGTGTGTGTGTGTGTGTGTGTGTGTGTGTGTGTGTGTGTGTGTGTGTGGGTGTGTGTGTGTGTGTGTGTTAAGCTCAGAGTGTGTATGGCTTTGGGAAAGAAACTGTTTAGTATGTGAATATGCTCTCTATGGCAGAGCTGTAAAACCTGGTTCAATGATGGGGCGAGTTAAAGCAATATGTACAATTACAATTAATCTGAAAACAGTGACACAGAAACACACTGTGACGTATTTTATAGTTCATGTGTCCTCACATTCACCTTCACACTTTCACAGGACAGTAAATATAACACACGTTTAACCACAGACTCAGCGCGATGCAGGAACTCTGCAGTAAACCACAGCGAGAGTATTTAGAATCAGCCGTGTGTCTGAGAGATGGAACAAGTCGGTTTAACTGTGAAACCACAACAAACTTTCATATCTTAAAACGTAAATGAGCATTTCTCTTTGACAACTAACCACTACATGTGTTCTTCTTCAAAGAAGGAACTATTTATTTAGAATACTTTATAAACAAATATCAGTGCATTCTTAATTCACCTTTTCATTAAGGTACAAAATCTAAATCTAAAAAAATCAAATCTCCATCTTCAGCTGTAAAACAAATACAGAACAAATGTTAATAATATAGAATATAGAGGTATTATAGAGGTAGGCTTTGTTAAAATGTTATATATGTTTTTATATCATATACGGGTAGTAAGCAGGATTATAAGTATTTCTAAAGTTCAATAATAATAATGAGGAATGGTACAAAATCTAATTTTAAGTTGAATGCATGACTCCATTAAAATGGTATGTATGTTAGAAGGTTACCCTTTTGTTCTATATATAATATATAGTTAAACCAAAATGTATATATTTGTATAAAGTCAAATAACATTATTTTAAACCCTCGTACAACCAACTACACACCCATGTTGTCCAAAGTTGTAAATATTAGGATGTTTAAAATATCTACCATCCATCCAGTATGACTTAAAGCAACATTAATTATACTAATTGAATTCTTAGTCTTACCGGCTGGATTGTAGAATACAAGGCGTCCTCTGTTACGGATGGCTCTGCGTTGAAAATAGAGGATACTGGTAACTATCATCTAGCAGTCTGAATGTTGGTATTGCCAACAAGCACACTGAACATCACAATAAAGCCTTTAAAGTTTAAAATCAGTTATAATTCTAATCTCATTGAGGCTCACCCTGTTGTTGAGTTTCTCCCGGGCCCAAGGTGTAGTAAACGGGTGTTGGATATGATTGATCCACACCTGATAGAGAGACATAGTTAGTCATCTGATATACAAATATAAATATTACTATTACTAGAAAATCAGGCCAATTGTTTTCCTATGTTCTGCTGACAGACAGAAAAAAAGGGCCAACAATTATTTTTGGACAAACAGTCTCACGGTATTTAAAGGGAGGCTGTGGCTAAGTGGATAGTGCGCTGGACTTTGAATCAGGGGATAGCAAGTTCAAGTCCCACTGCAGTCAGCATGTCGCTGTGTCCCTGAGACACTTCACCCCAAATTGCTCCTATGGGGATTGTCCACTGTACTGAGTATGTAGGTCGCTTTGGATAAAAGCGTCTGACAAGTAACATGTAATGTAAAGATGCCCAATTATGCTTTTTGTGGTGTCATGTCAGCCTGTCCTCCTACAAAAAACGACCATATACAGTAGGCCGATTGTTCATGCCATTATTACGACCCAGAGACACGTTTTAAAGTGTATGTTGTTTCTTACACGACCACTAGAGGTGCTCTAGTGGTTGTGTAAGAAACAACATGCTCCCGGCCCGTTCATTGCAAACACTCCGGAGGGACGTTTATTCACAAATAACCCTCTCTGGAAAATCCTAAATTGTGGAATAGTTTGGCCATTAAAATGCTTTTTGATTCGATTTCTGGCGAGAAGTGTATATTTTACTCTTAGAATCCACGTCCAGTGGATGTGTAGGATCTATAGTTTGATAGATATTATGAAGATGATTTGAGGTCTCGCCAGGATAACGTGTATGCAGCTTCCATGTAAAGTTAGCGTGGGTGAAAACTGTTTTTCCGGTCTCGACGTTTTCATAATAAAACCGGATATATTCCCCTCACTGTCAAATGATTACACAGTGATATCTGCATTACTCATCCACTAAAAAACATCAGTTTATTCTTGTTAATTACACAATATTGATTGGTTTAAATTGTGTACAATGTTTTTGTGTTTTTAACCTTCGATTCGGAGAAACAAATAGTTTTTTCGGAGTTTAGACACTACAGAGTTTCCGAAGACACTACACTACCCAGAATCCCCAGCTATCGTTTGGGACTACAACATCCGCCTTGCCTTAGTCATCATATATCGCCACCTACTGTTGATTTATTAAATGTTCATATTAAATCCTTGTCCTCAGACCAATGTTTTTGAGGAACTTGAAGATCAGCTTGTTTACTTCATTTCTTGATTTACTTCCGTATATTGTTTGTTTGTAGCCTTTATTTAACCAGGTGAAAGCCCCTTGAGATCAAAAGATCTCTTTTTCAAGGGTGACCTGCAATATTGACTTGAAATCCATGTCCTTGATGTTATGTTGTTCCAGTGCAGTTTTCAGAATGAGTCTTTGTCTCTTATAATCCGAGCAGCTAACAAATACATGATGTATTGTCTCTGGTTGTTGGCAACCATCACAATTGCCATTTAGATGTTCAATCAGATCTATTGTTGAATTTAATCCAGAGTGACCCAATGTTATCCTGCTGTTAATGCTCTGTTCTCTTCTACTACTCCCCCAAGTGCTTCCCGTTCCTACTTCCCTTTGTATCTGGTATACATGTCTTCCTTTGGTGTTACTGTCCCATAACTTTTGCCATTGTTGCTTGATAACAACTTTTGTAACAGATTTTACTTCTGCTCTACTGATGGTACCATAATATCAATCAATCAATATATAATATAATATATCAATCTGGTTTGCTTTCAAACCACATTTTGCCAGTTGATCCACTACCTCATTCCCTCTAATACCCACATGCGCTGGAACCCACACAAATTGAACAACAATTCCCAAATGAACTAACCTAAACATGATGTGTAAAATGTCATGTAAAATATCCTGACGGCATTCTGAAGAGAAGTTGTTTATACTCTCCAGAGCTAAGTTGGAGTCAGAGCAAATGACCACTCGCATTGGCTGTGTTTCCTCTACCCACTGAAGTGCTAGAGAGATAGCCATCATCTCTACTGTATATACTGCAATGTGATCACTCGTTCGCTTTCCCACTTTGACTTTTAATTCAGGAACATAAAATGCACAACTAGTTTGACCATTTTCTGGATTTTTGGATCCATCAGTAAATATTTGTATAAACTGCCCATATTGTTCATGTGTTCACGTAAGCCTGCACATTGATTTGACTTTTCATTGAATGTAACCGTTTCAATAAGGATACATCTACTACAACAAGGATAAACTGATGTTTTTTAGTTGATGAGTACTGCAGATATCACTGTTAAATCATTTGATCATTGGTTTTATTATGAAAACGTCAAGACCGGAAATACTGTTTTCAACCCGTAACTTTACATGGAGGCTGCCGCATACCTCAAATCATCTTCGTAATATCTATCCAACTATAGATCCTACATATCGACTGGACGTGGATTCTAAAAGTACAATATACACTTCTCGCTAGAAATCTAATCAAAAAGCGTTTTAATGGCCAAACTATCCAACAATTTAGGATTTTACAGAGAGGGTTATTTGTGAATAAACGACAATCTGTAACGTTTGCATTCAACGGGAGCCCTAGAGGGCGAACACTTTAAAACGTAATTATAGGACGTATTAAGCGCTTGAACAAACGACATATTTGGTCGTAATAAGGGCCTGAACAATCGGCCCATGTGGTCGTATGAGTTGGAGGACTTGTTGTCTCATGTAGTGTGTTTTGTAGGTTTTAGAGCATGTAAATGTCTGCAAAGGCTAACATTCCTGTGTTCCCTCCACAGGGAGTTTCTCTCTCAAACACCCCCCCCCCCTCCTTAACAACAATTGTCTAAAAAGTTTGCCTTTAGATTCCAATTAAATACACAACTGTATTTGACATAAGTAAGAACAGCATGTAAAATGAAATTAAAGCAGAAGTAACCCTGTCAGGTTTTAGGTACCTTTCTTCTTCCTGGTTTTTGATACCACAGCATACAACATTTGGCCTGAATCCACTGCACTGGCCTCTACTGAAACTAGTAAAACAAATACATATAGTTTAGCTGACATGATAAATGGACAGACAAATAATAAGACCGAAAAACAGTCAGTGTTTATTAAGTACAGAATATTGTTATATTTTAATTAGATATGTAACATCCTTTAAACAATTGGTCGTATTTGAACACCACAAATAACTACACTCTAGTTATTTCGCACATGACGAAAAAGCCTTTGAATCTTCTATTTAAAATCATAGTATATTAAGGTAAGCTAATTACATTACGTAGATCTTTATGAAGGATGCAACATGGTTTGTGTTCTCACCTGTGTGATGCTCAGCCGGTCCAGGTGTTAACGTGGACAGGCAGAGCAACACTGCAGCATAGTAAAGGAAAAACAACATTAAAATCAAACCAGAAACAGAAGAAGATTCAGACATGGCTAACGAATATGGAAACCATTGTCTTCCATGCCTCATTTTGTGACATCAAACATAAATTGATCTGTTTTTAAGAGGTAGAAAAACCCATACATAAAATAAAAATACAATCTATAGGGACGCAGACCTTCGCCAAGACCGACCAAATACCTTCACAGCGTTGAGAAAGATAATTAATGTAATGGCTCAAAATAGAACTGAGTGTTTCCTTATTATCAACACCAAGAATCCTGAATGTCACGAAATTAGTTTTTTCATTATTCTTAGGATGGGTGTGATGACGTTTAGTCGTCTCATTTAGACACTTGTTAGCAACCGCCGTTTTGAAATCCACCAGTCGGGTATTTACTGACGTATTTTATGACTTAAAACAAAATGGTAAAATCTCTTCAGCTTGTGTTAACCACAGACCTGATTTCAGGCTTGAACCAAAACAAATTCTTCAATAGAAGGGAACACGAAGTATTAAAATGCTGACTCATTTCAGGTTTTTAAGACTCATTCCTGCAGCCCTCCGTCGCTTATAGTAGCAGATTGTTAGTGGATTGTATCTGTACCTCTGTGCCGATAACTTCTGTAAAATCGATGTATTCCCACGGCCAGCAGCAGAAGCATCGATGAAACAGAGACAAAGATCCACGGGGAGAGAGTGGAGGAAGTCTCTTTAGCTGAAACTGAAATAGGAATGATTAACTTAGGAGCAGACGGTAATCACATGCAATTTTTGTACTTTAAGTATATTTTGATGCCATTAGTTTGGTCCTATTACTTGTAAAATGTAGTACAAGTAATACTGTAGGAGAAGTGGAATAAATACCCAAGATCTGAGTATTTTTTCCACTTCTCATTCAATTAAAAAATGCAAAGATTCAAAAGGTTAAATAAATATACACAACTACAGTGGAGTTGTGTATATAATATGAACAACATGGGTCACAGGTTCCTCTACACCGTAATTACAAGACCTTACAAAAAAATGAGGTAACATTTGAATGCAAGTATTTTACTTGTATTAAAACACAAAATATCTCACCTCTGACAGCCAGCCAGCTCTCTGGAGATTCTCCACCTTCAGAGATGCTGCACTTGTAGAGTCCTTCATCAGATTTAGAAACCCTTTGGATGGTGATGTTTCCTGTAGAGCTGCGCCTGATGAGGCGGCCATCTTTATAGAAGTCAGCTGAGAGGATGGAGGAAGTGATCGTCTTTTTTCTGCAGCTCAGAGTCACAGATTCTCCCTCCATCACAGGAAGCACAGGACTCTCCAGGATCACAGAGCCAGCTGAACAACAAAAGTTTTAAAGCCTTTCATAACATTTTTAAGAAACTGCATACATTAATAGAAACAACGCTACAGTCAACAAATCATGAACGCAAAATCTGACAAGAAATGTTTTGGCCCCAATCAATAAAAAGCGCCATTACATGTTTCCCCCATGTTTGTTCAACACTTCACTTTGTTGAGTGTCAAATAGCCTCACGTGGAGCACTGAACTCCCTCAGTATAACACACAAGCCTGGCAGGAAGTAGATCACTCGGAAAGTTTGCGAGATAATCGAAACTCAGAAACGTATAAACAAAATGATTTCTGTCATGACAGTGATTGCTCACTTTGTGTGCACTAGTTTTGACATATCTCTTCTTTTAGCTTTCTCTTAACGTCTTTTTCGTTTCATTCCCAGAGAAAATCTCATACATTTCTGATCTCACCTCTGACAGCCAGTCGGCTCTCTGGTGATTCTCCACCTTCAGAGATGCTGCACTTGTAGAGTCCTTCATCAGATTTAGAAACCCTGTGGATGGTGATGTTTCCTGTGGAGCTGCTCCTGATGAGGCGGCCATCTTTATAGAAGTCAGCTGAGAGGATGGAGGAAGTGGTCGTCTTGTTCCTGCAGCTCAGAGTCACAGATTCTCCCTCCATCACAGGAAGCACAGGACTCTCCAGGATCACAGAGCCAGCTGAACAACATCGGGACAAAACATTCAGTTTGAGTTTTGTAAGAATTGTTCATTTAGACAAAGGCATTGTGAAGATACTGTGATGTAAAGTCAGGTTGTAACATGTTACATAATAATTGAAAATATCAGAAATAAACAAAACACATTGATGAACAAATCAGAAATCAGAGTGTGTTATTTATATAATATTTGTAGACAATTATTAAAATGACATCAGAGACAGGAGAAACCCACAATTTGTTTTAGATTTTAGAAACAGTTGTTTGCAATTTTATGACTGTAATCCAATAGTAGGCTTTGCTGTTCTTTTTTTTACAATATTAAGATAAAAAAATAATTTTTTGCTAAAAAAAGGATATGTTTATTTTATAACCTTGGCATCATTGCACTTTTTTTGTTCTTCTAACAAAACATTGTATAGAAAGAATATGTTAATGTCAACATACCGGTGATAATGACGTTCACATAGTCACTTTTCTTCCCTCTAGTCTCACACCAGTAATCTCCACTGTCCTCTTTATAAGGAGATGTAATGGTGCAATTAGTCTCATTCAATGAACCCCATTTTGAGCCGTCACAAGTTTCCTTTCCTGCTTTGTTCCGCCGTGAAATGTTCACATCGGTCAAACCATCGAAGCCCACACATCTTAAAGAGAAAGGCTCGTATTCAAAGACTTGAAGTCTGGATGGTTCGATCCAAACATCTGCATCTGAAACAGATAAATAAACGTGTTGTTGAGATTAATATATACCACTTTAAATAAAGTTATGATTTTTTTTTTGCTTTATTTTTGGTAAACAAGCTTCTTACCAACTTTCTGTTCACAGAGCTGCAGAAACACCGTCATCCCTGCAGAGACAACAGAGACAAACATCACACAGAGTTCTTATATTAGATGTTATTACCTTGACTTTATTGTTTACATGTATCTTTGATAGATAATACTTGAAAAACAATCTTAAAATGTTAATCATTTGTATTTATTTATATGGAGGTAGATTTGTCTCTCAATTATGTCTTTGGACGGATCAACAACCCGTGTGTAAATGTAAAAAAACATCCACAAATTCCCAAAAGGATTTGTAAAATCACAAAAATATGAATGGAAATGTGTAAAGAATTTATAAAATGCACGTCAAGCAGCAATTATTTTTCAGACTGCATCTAAAAATGCTTGAAACCCTGTCATCGTCCCAAAATGGCAGTGACGCGCGTAGACTTTTTTTTACATTTACACACCGGTTAGTGATCTGTTCTCACAAATAATATTGACACAAATCTACCTCCATATTTTCCTTCAGCTAATATGATCTATTAACATCTTTGATGTGAAAAACAGCAGATGAGGACTCAGTACTCACACAGTGTGATGCAGAGCGCTGTGGCCTCCATGGCGTCTGGCTGCTGACTGAGTGAACCTCACACTGAAATATAAAAAGAAGAAGAGGGGTGGTCTCTTCCTGTGTGGCTCACTAATGAAACGCCTTGTAGCTCAGACGCGTGTCATGGAAGGAAATACGTGTCAGTGGTGGGGTTAATATTAGAGGCTGAGGCCAAACACTCACATGTGAGAAAGACCACTTTACGTCTTGATGTGTAGAACAGACAAAACGCATGATGACATGACGGAAAACTATACTTTAACACAACTACTTACACAGAATTAAACATTGTTATGATGCTGTCTTTAAAATATGGAGTAGCAAGGCTCAATTATTGCCACATCTTTATTGCCAAATTTGCCAAATTCCCCCGAGAAACATAATTGGCAGTTTTGATTTTGTTTTTAAATCCTTCTTATGCATTCCATATATGTGTTGATTCATAATAATAATATTAACAATAACATTAAAAAAATGTTTGAAAAAGTGATTTAAACATAAATAACATCTGGCCAATGACCTGGTCCTTTGTTTGATTTGGTCAGAATAAAGCAACATATACAATAGACCTGCATATTAAAGTCAAATCTTTCATTTTAATTTAATTCACATCCTTAAATAATAATATTTAAAAAACTGCCGCCTTTATTACTTTCATCTGTTATGCGAGTGATTGTAGAACTAAATGAGAAAAAAGGCCGATATGTAATGCATGAGTCTTGTGATACGCAGTCCCTTTGATATTAACACAACCTTGATCAGCCCTTCACTTAACCACACGGTACATCAGGCTACCTTAAAGTACTCAGTGTCCAGATACATTTAGATTTACTGCACGTGTTTGCCGGGTGGTTTTCAGACACTGGCTGCACGTGAGCTGAGGGGCCCGTCTACCTGTTTCTGTCTGTGGGTTCCTTGTGTGGTTTTTATTCTGAAAGTTAAAGAATAAGAAGCCGAAACTATAACGAGGGGCTAAAGCTACAAGAGGAAGAACAGTGGCCCCCATGTTGAAGAAAAGTCTGCTAAAAGATCACTATCTGTCAGTGGCTGCTAAGGGAAATGACCCACATGCAAACAAGCTAGTTACATTTCAGTGTTTGATTACAAAAAGCTTAAAGACAGACAGAGGCTGCAGGATACTTATACTCTGAAGGCTGATGAGGGGAAGTGGAAACAGGTGAGCAGGTGAACCAGGGTCATGTGACTGGACTCTGAGAAGTGAGGAGTTCAACATGAATCTGAGAGTGTGGAGACATCTGGTGGACAGAGGGAGGAAATACACTGCATCCATTTTTAATTCAGGTGAAAGCTGTAAGGCTTTACATCAACATGTAGTTATTATACCTGAAAGCATGCAGATGTTTCCATTACAAATAAAGTAGGTTTATTTATTAATATGTAACATTCAAAGGAAGGTCATATGATCAGCAACTCTGTCTCATTAATAGTCAGTTGACTAAAACACTGCAGATAATTAGATATCATAACAACAATTATTTAAAAAAAATCTTATTTCATCTTATCTTATGATAGAACTAAAAACAATTTCATAAGCTTCAGTGAAACAAAAACATAAAAGTTTTTTTGGAGCCTGTCCAGCAAGCTTGCAAGGACTGTGCTATGTAAGCCACCCTCTTATTAATTGGTGTGAAAATGGAGACAATTGGACAATGTCAAATATTGAGCTGTTGGTACAGGGACACAGGCATATCTCGATTATGCCTTGACACAGGGAGCTGATACTTGGATTGTGCTATGTTGGCCACCCTGTAATTAATTGGTGTGAAAATTGTGACGATTGGACAATGTCAAATATTTAGCTGTTTTGAGGACCCTGTAATGTTGGTACAGGGACACGGGCATATCTCGATTATGCCTTGACACAGGGAGCTGATACTTGGACTGTGCTATGCTGGCCACACCGTGGTGCCCTTGAGCAAGGCACCGGACATGTCAAAAATAAACCTTATTTAAAACTGTTAATTATCTTGATTGCAGAAAATGGAGTAGTGGATAATATGTTTACAGAATACATTGATATAAAAAAAATATATATTTCAAATCCAGTAATCATGCAAAAATAATCGTTCTTGAGACAATTACAAAATGTGAGCTAATGCAAATTAGCTCACATTTTGTAATTGATTTATTTAACCTGTTGTCTTTATATGAGTTCCCAACCCAGTCTCACATCTAAACGTGTAATAACTAAGTTGGTCCACAACTTGGGACGTAGTATTTCTACAAAAACGCCTCTGAAATTGTAGGATCCCTACGTTTTTTTCCACTATTCATTTCCAATGGCTGGCGTCTATGTCACGTGATCTTCAACTTTCTCTCCGCAGACAAAAAAAAAACCATTTCATTTAATTTAATTTCAAACCTTTATTTAACGAGATTGGTCCCATTGAGATCATACTGTAGATCTCTTTTTCAAGGGAGACCTGCAGCATATAGGTTCCACATGAAACATAAAACAATAAAGGACATCATACATTATATTTACAGGATACATTTACATAGTTATAGACATTTACAAGTGCCCATAGTATCAACGAGCATTTCATTTAGCCTAGCTTTAAAAACATGCAGAGGAATGAGATCGCTCAGTTTCAATTCTTGCTGAAGATTGTTCCAAACAAGTGGAGCTGCGCACATAACAGCTGTCTTACCTGAGACAGTCCTTGCTCTTGGCACATCTAACAATACTACATCATGCGATCTCAGACAATAGCTGCTTGCAACTCTCTGTGTTATCAGAGAGCAGATATAATATGGGAGTTTACCCGACATGGCTTTATAAATAAACGTGTACCAATTACTGAGCCTCTTTACAGTAAGTGATGGCAAACCTGCCTTGGCATACAGCCCCTGTCACACTGTCCCGAAATTGACACCCGATGGACACACGAATATGGAATTGTGAATTTCGCACGAAGATGGCCCCGAACCACACACGAAGGCAACATTTACATTACATTTAAGACATACAACTGCAACGAAAGTACCAAAAACAATTATGTTACAGTACTATGATACTGTACTGATATCTTCAGACTTTGTTCTTTACTTTATCCGTCGTTATATGTAGAACATATTACTTTTTCTCCGTAATGTTGTTTCCATAACAACAACAACTTCCTGTCAACTGTCCTTCAAAATAATATATTATATCCTTTTTAGTTTCACAGAACACAAATTGGGTTATTTACATAATATATTTACATGATTTTGTTGTGCAATAAAAAAACCCGATGGACACACGATAAAGGAAATGTTCAAATTCGGCTGTGATCGTAGCAACATCGGGCCATTCGTGAGGGCATCTTAAGCCATCGTATGACCGCCGGTGGAGTTTCTCAGGCTCCGGCAGCAACTTCGTGAGCGGTGGCAAAATCTTTGGCATGCCAAAAAATTGCCGAAGGACCTTGAGAAGGTTCATTTTCGTGTTGAATTTGTGTGTCAATTTTGCCCTTCGTAAGGCCATCGTGAGGGCATCTTGTTATCATCGGTGCCATCGGGCATTCGCCCCGATCAGAGTGAGGGCGAATGCACCGATGATAACACGAAGATGACATGATTTGACAAGATGCCCTCACGAGTGCCTTACGAAGTTGCCACTCACGAAGTTGCTGCCGGAGCCTGAGAAACTCCACCGGTGGTCATACGATGGCTTAGATGCCCTCACGAATGGCCCGATGTTGCTACGATCAGAGCCGAATTTGAACATTTCCTTTATCGTGTGTCCATCGGGTGTCAATTTCGGGACAGTGTGACAGGGCCTTACAGGGTACAGTGATGTGTAAGTGCTTTACAATTTGTGACAAATCTCAGTGCACTGTGATAGGCGGCATCTAACTTGTTCAGGCAATAGGCAGGTGCATTCATATACAACAAATCACCATAGTCCAGCACAGGTCAAAGGTCACAGAGCCTTTTCCTGGCCTCAAGCGAGAAACAGGACTTGTTTCTGAAAAATAAACCTAGTCTAACCCTCAGCTTTTTAAGCAGGTTATTGACATGAAGTTTAAAAGAGAGACAATCATCAAGCCAGATACCAAGGTATTTATAACAGGTAACCACTTCAAGTACTTGTCCTTGCATAGTAACAATATCCATAGCAGTCTCTGGAGTCTTTTTAGCTTTTGAAAAGAGCATTACCTTGGTTTTATCAACATTTAAAACAAGCTTTAGTTCAGAGAGCTGAGTCTGAATAATGTTAAAAACAGCCTGTAATTTAACAACAGCCTCGTTAATGGAGGGACCTGCACAGTACATCATGGTATCGTCCGCATAGAAATGTAAAGTAGCTTCATCCACATTTTCACCTAAACTGTTGATGTATATGGAGAATAAAAGTGGACCTAAAACAGAACCTTGTGGTACACCATTAGCAATGTTTAACCACTCAGAAGACAGCCCATCAAAGTGAACACATTGGGACCTTTCAGAGAGGTAGTTCACAAACCACCCACTGCATGGCTGGACATGCCGATACTGAGTAGCCTCTGCTTTAAGATATGATGATCGACGGTATCAAACGCTTTGGAAAGGTCAATAAATAGAGCTGCACAACTCTGCTTATTATCTAAAATACTCGTAATATCATTCACCACTTTCATTGTGGCAGTGATGGTGCTATGTTGCTTTCTGAAGCCTGACTGATGTTTAGACAGGATATTATTTTTACATAAAAACTCCTTTACTTGTTCACTCACTAGGTGTTCGAGCACCTTCGCCAGAACTGACAATTTAGATATTGGCCTATAGTTATTTAAAATAGTTGCCTCCCCTCCTTTTAGTAAAGGCAAGACATAAGCTGACTTCCATACTTTTGGAATTGCATTTGTGTTGAGGGAGAGGTGGAAAAGAATAGTGAGAGGAAGAGCAATAAAATCTGCAGCTATCTTTAAAAAGAAAGGCTCTACGTTGTCCGGGCCAGCCGGTTTCTTAGGATCTAACTTGGTTAAGGCTTCATGAACAACATTAACAGTAAAAGGAGTACAACTGAGA